CGTACCTGGCACCGCCGCTTCGTCCTGGTCCGTGCGACCCCCTTGTGTAGGAGCCGTGGGGCACTTGTTGGAACGGACGCCGCGATGGGTGGCGCCAATTGCATAGCGGCCTGATGCATGAGATTACCAGACGCACCCGCGCCAGTGAGTACACAGGAATAGACCCCAGCGCGCCGAGAGCAACGAACACTTGATCCCACCCCTTGCGGGGAGAGATGGGGCACTCGACGTCCGCGGGCCAGCAGGCCACGCCCAAGTGCACGACGAATGGCGGCGGGTCGTCGGTGGCGTGCCAGACGTGTCTTTTCCTCGCATCCCTCCTCAAACCAACTGCTTGATCGAAATTGGATGTGACCTGGAGGTCGTCGCGAAAGAGGTCAGCAGAAAATTTAGTAATCGATCGGTCATCAGGCGACACCGTTGATTGGCTGCCACGGAGCAAGCGCCGCGCACAGAGTAGCAGGTGCAAGGGCGTAGCCCTGTGGAAGGCCACTGGCGGGCCACGCCAGAGGAGCGAGCTGGCCCGCCACGCCCGGGCGCCCGGGGCCCGCCCAGGCAGCGCGCACAGTAAAAGCCGCAGCAAGTGATACTTCGCAGTGATGTAGCAGAGCATCTCCTGCTATCTGACGGCTGACGTGGTCGAAAGCTCGAGACAGATCAAGTTCAGCTCCTGCTTCAGCGTCGGCGGCGTCCGATAGCAACCGAGAAATCGCACGCGGCGTCGACGCACCCCGCTTGCAAGCCCATTGATTGCCAACTGGACCTGGAACAGACGCCGGGCAACGCGGCAAGCCAACGACGCACGAGGAGCGAGCCGGCGGAAATAGGACGAAGGTCGTCTTCACCTCTGGGAAAACTTGCAACCTGCCATGCGAAAGCTTTCCCGAGGACGCTGTTCGAGAGGCGACCCTGCAGTGCTACGCAATCGCTTGAAATCTAAATTCAAAGATCATGCAACAGCTTGATCTCTGCTGCAGTCCAACCATCCATTCCTGGGGCCCCCTTCGCGCGATCGATCACTCATTGGAAGTCGCCCAGGCTCGGCGCCCAATCTGCAGGTCGCTCGGACGCGGGAAACACCACGTTGCCAGCATAACCGCTCATGGCTTCAAGGCGTACTTGTAGCTGCTCAGGCGTGTCCTGTGGGCCCCGCTGCCGTTGCCAATCCTCGCGCATCTCCTCAGCCGAGAAGGGTGGCGCGGGCGTCCCGCCTCTGAAGAGAGGCGCGGTTCGCTTGTAGAGGTCCTGCGACAAAGTCGCAAAACGCTTGTTCGATTCTACACGCTTCTGCTTCGCAATCTTAAGACGCTCTGCTGCAGTAGCTGTGGAGAGACATTCAGGTGCGTCGGAATAGCTGGGGAGGCCATTGGGGGTGGTGCCACAGATGCCGTCGAGCGCCGCGGGTGCAAAATCCGACACGTGACGCGCAGTGAGAAGATCTTTCGGCGAAGCACCAGGTACTGCCGTAATGACCGTAATGTGACGATGAAACCTTCGACGTAGCCGACGGAGTCGACGAAGTGCAGCTGTCTGGTGGCCTCCATGGGCGCTGCCTGAGCCCACCTTACGTGGGCTCAGAACCTTTGGGCGCTCAGGTTGGCGGTCGAGGCCAATGCAACCCGCTCGACGCCCAGTTGCAGCGCCGCTGCAGCACGCGTACGCCAGAGCGTCCAACGATCTTCGCATGTCCCCTGGAGCCCAGCTTCAGCATCAGCACCATACAGTGGGTCCACACGTGCGTTGAGGACGTCCTAGAGGATAACTCTCTATTCTTGCCAAAGTACTTCCACAAGTCATATTTCCAAATATGTCGTAGCCGACGCCGCTGTCTTGGAAAACCAGGAATCTGTACTTCAAAATCTACCGATCCGTGATGAGGAATGCCAGGAAGGAGCTGCATGTTGTTACATGTCGCTGCATGTTGTTACATGTCGGATGGTGGCGCGTCAGGGCCATAATGCCCTGCTCTGGCGGGGGAGGTCCCCTGCGCCGTGGTCGAAACGTGTTGGGCTGCAAGTTGAAAGCCAGGCCCCAGTACTTGGGGTAATGCTGGCCTCCAATTGGGATCCCCAAAACGGTACACGGGGTGTCCGTCCACTCCGAGCCCTTGAATGAAGTGGAAGAGCGACGCCATCCATGCAACATCGTATGTCTGCGGACCGTACACAAAGAAAAACTTGCTTGAGCGGTACGTATGCCAACAAATATATGCTCTAGAACTTGATCACTTATGATCGCCGTGCGCCCAAGGAACGGACGCCATAAAATTCCGGTGCCACCACCTTGGACTGCGCATCATGTACCCATCGGTGGCGGGGTTGAGCAGGCAGCTGCCCAGCCCGCCCGACGGGCAGTCTCCAGCACCCAGCGCGGCCTTTCAGAACCCAAACGGATCTCCCGCAGCATGATTGGGCCGATCTCGTCATCATCACATCTGCCCCAAACATCGAGGAGTCGTGCTCCGGTGAGGGAGGTAACATTCAAGGAGAGAACGTGCATG